GGTGATTAGTTGCTGTTACAGTAGGCCTACATGACAGTAGGGAATGTGGTCTGCATTCACTGTTAGATTTATATACTGCCCTCATCGTCAAGTATTTGCCACTTTGCTTTATTTATCACTAGCTAGCTGTGGACAGCCGGCGGCGTACTCCAAAGGGGGCATGAGGCAGCACTAATTTTTCAAGGGAATTTGAATACAGATCTATTGCTTTTGCGCAATTCAAAATTCCCCACCACCACCCCTAGTTACGCCACTGTCCGGCTGCTGATAATGTCAGTATGTTGTATAGAGGTTTACACGCAAATTTTAAAAAGCCCTAAGTTGTCCGGCGAATAATGGCCCTACTGTATTTTTTTAAATTTTTTTTATAGAAATGAACCTTCCAGACAACAGTGAGAATGCTTATGACATTATCCTAATGGGTGTTTACAATTGGTCATTTATTGGTGACAAATGTGAGGGGTGTATACGCCGTATATTACGCGGTCCGTCGATCTTGATCAACGTAGTTGAAAAAGTGGCACCGTTGTTAGTACTTCACTGAATATTCCAACTTGCACCGAAGCGCCAGGTATCCAGACGCCGTTATTTCTACGCCTGGGATCTGTTTTAATTGGTGGTTAGTTTTAGGGAAATACGTTAGGGAAAATGCCAACATGTGATTTATCTATTTAATTAATTTCAACAAAAAGTAATGATTTTTTTTTTCAAATAGGGGCCTAGGCTAAAGGGTGAGATCGCGCAGCTCAGATAATGAGATCAATGGAAATGTTCAATAGCGCCCTCAATTATCAGTGTGATAAATGTGATCTTATACCCTGTTCATTTCACGGTGTGCGAAGGGAAATCTTTTACTAAAAAGTTCCACGATAGTTGCACCCTGAAAAAAACACTGTCGTGGAATATAAAACACTATTTTGACAACGAACGACAGACGACGCCATTTTTGAAACTATAGATTGCAGACCAGTAAATAAATTTCCATAGACCCCAATGATAAATGCCCCCACTTCAGAAATTCAGAAAAAAACAACTCTCCAAGTTGTTCAAGACGTACATCAAATTAACGCATATTTCATCATCTTTCATTTTTTTCCAATTTATGGGGGGGGGGGGGGGGGAGAGGGGAGGTCATCTCATGACTTTTGGGAGAAATTTTCATCCAAAGATGATCACCCCTTAAAATAGTCCTCAAGCCAATCGCCATTTTGAAAAACGATTTTGAGGGCACGGGGCCGGCGTAGGCAATTTTGGGCCAATTTTTAGGCCTGCACCCTGCAAACGCCGGTAAGTCGGGGAAAGACACGTGTCCTTAACTAAATTGTAAACCATTTATATATGTATTTGTCTTAAAATTAAAACGTGTTTGTGGTTGTAGTTATAATGATTTCAAAGTATCGTCAGAAATCGTTAAAAAGTTGCAAAGAGAATCCTTAAACTTTGTGATTATTGTAGGGTACTGCCTTTGGTCAAGCAAAGGACGGTGGATCTGAACGAGTAAAAAACAAGGTACTTAGTTAGTAATTACGTTGGAAATAATTGCGTACTCTGACTCCACTTGTTTCCAACAATTTCTTGCCCCAAAAAGTTGTTTCCTGTGTAATTATTTCTTTTACTTTCCCTCCTCGACTCTCACCCTCTCCTCTCATCCATTCGTCTTTATTTATCATTCACTAGCCTCAGAGAGATCTAAGAGATTGGGATTCAATTCTCAGTCTCGCCTTTGAAACATACCGGAACTTACATAGGCCTTCGCCTACCTACCACCCTTATCCACTAGGCCACTGCACAAGCGCTTGAGGTGTCTTTGGCCGTATTTTAATGTGCCCATTGAAATAAGACCAATGAATGTTAAAGGGAATATACATCATTTGCTTTTGCTGTAATTTTCAGAAATGGATGGAATTAGGGAGTTGGAAATATATAGCAAATATAGTTACACTGACTTTTTTGAGGTTTTGGGTTCAAAAATGCTATAAAAACCAGGAAAAACAATCATTTTCCTGTAGTCTGGTTCCCTGACTCCATTTAAGAAGAAACAGAGCAGTTTACATACATTGGGGAAACGGTAAGGTCAGGGAACCAGTCTAGCTGGCTTGTACCCGTTCATAGGTGTGTAATCGATTGCAAACAAGTGCGATGGTCAATTGGGGCCAGTATTTGAAAAAAGCCAGTTTTTTCCAACGCTGGTCGGCCGATCAGCGTTGGAAACTAAATGTTTAAGATAAATGAATTATTCATATGATGAGACATATTGCAGTTTTATTGGCTCGTCGATATGTGTGCGCACCACAAACTCTAGACTCTCAAAATGGCTGCCTCCAGCGTGTGATGTCCAACGATAATGTGCATCCAAAATGTGCTACAAAAACACATTCGCATTTCCAGAGTTTCCTTTGTTTGTCTTCAATGAAATCACAACGTGAGGTGAACACTGATGTGTTTGGCGGCAGATAAGGCCAAATAAAAAAAAAATATGTTTAGCGTAAATTGAAATGTCCATGTAAGGTAATGTTCGGAGTAGCCCATGCGCCGCGTGAAATAGCGCCCTCAGGCGAAGAGCGCTCGAAACGTGTTTATTTTACGAAACGCAATATGTTGCGCTATTCGCTCTTTTCACATTTCCGCCATAGGCATCTGGCAACTTTACACAATAAAAATAACCGGTTCAGTGCTTCCAGTGTCGGGGTTTAGATCACTGAACGGGCTATTTTTATTGTGTAAAGTTGCCAGAGTCGAGGCTGTGCATGCCCAACATAATGGCGGAGCGTGAGAAGAGCGAATTGTCTCCAACTTGTTTTCTACAAATTTCGTTTTGTAATCAGCATACATATCACGCATTGGCTCTCAGGTGAGTTTATGAAAGCAAGCAAGGATTAAAGAAATTTTCCATGGGTTTGAACATTTGGGCAAATTGAAAAAAATTGGCAAATTGAAAATTAAATATCTTTTGAATGAGTTAAACACCATCCTGCTGAATCCAGGTTGTATGGGTTGGGAGGTGGTAATGCAATCTCATATGCATGGACATACATTAACCAATGTTGTTGAAGCTGTTATGCATCATTATATCTTTCCAAAAATGCCTTGAATTGTCATGGAAACGACTATAGAGGGCGCTATATCTGAATGAATACAATAATACATAAGTAGAGGTTTCGTGATTTTGCAGTCTGAGTTGCAGTAAAATAAAAAAGGAAAATCCAAAATACATACAGCAAGTTTAATTAATAATAAAAGGTTTCCCCAAGTCCAAGAAGTTTAATCAGGTCATTTAATTGTCAATCATTCATAAGACAATTGTTGATTCAATAAACCATATTTAAATCATTGTGGTCCCAAATCAAGTGTCCTGTTGTGCTTATTTGACTTATTGAGCAGAGTTAGCCAATCAATTCTTTGGCGGTATATTCCCACCAAAACGAACTTGTATCCCTTTGCCTTGAGGCTGTTCGTTACTCTCCGGTCCGAGGAAGTAACTGGGTTCGGGAGCAATCCGCCACAGAAGCAAACAGATACATAGTCTAGGGGCTGTTCTTGTTTGATACGCGATAACTCGCCGCCGCGATAACCGGCCACAGCGAGAGCGCGCTAACACGACCAACCAATATCACCCACGAACCCGTCAGAACAGCGTCAAGGCCACTTGCTTAAATTCCCCCCCCCCCCGAAAATGGGGAAAATTAGTGCGCATGCGCAGCTTCTGCAGGTAATTACGGTCCATTTTCAGTCCCACACATACTACACACAACAAAAGAGTTGACCAGTGGAATTACACAAAAGTCTTGCTGCATCTTTTATACTGGAAGAAATTTGAGAGTTTGCTTCGGAACTACTATGGATTTTTTTGAATTGCGCGCTGCATATATTAAACCAAACAGGTGCGCGCGCATTACACAACCAATAGCAAGTGGCCTAGGGGTGCACACCTGTAAATAGGCCAAAAATCCGTGCGCCGAGCTCATGAATAAAAGTTATACCCTAAAAATATTCTGTATTAGAGAGTTTAGAGAGCCATAAATTTTGGGAATTGAAGAGATTTGGTAATGAACCTCTGGCCCGAACTTGGGGCTTCCAATTCTGAGCATTTCGGATGCTATTGGGCTCGTAAGTGGCGCTATTTTGCCATGTTGTGGAGGGATCGTTTTTCAAGATGGCTACTTTTCCGCTTTGGGGAAAATAGGGGTCGTCTTGTTGGGTGAAAATATCTCGAAAAGTCAATGGTCAACCCACCAAAAAATGAAAAGAAAATGAAAGATGACACATTGATCATCATTTTTCTGTGTAGCTTGAATACCTGTAAGAGTTCTGAGTATTTTAAAAAGAATTTATGAAAAGAAATATGCGCATTTAGCACTGGTGTCTATGGGATTTTTTTTTTTTTGCAGGGTTGCAGCTAGCCGCGATAAAATTTTCCACATTTTCCAAATATGGTCATTTTTTTTTCAATGGGCCAATTATGCCAAGCTTCCATGTAATCCTCACCCCTACTATACTCCACAAGCCTGTAGACTCCCATTGGCCAGACCCTAGCCACTGCAGAGTAAGGAGTGTTGAAAGACAGAAGCCAAGATGGCGCCTAATGCCTTTGTGCAGTAATTGGAGATCTTAGTGGCCAACCCCTAAGTGCCGCCGATCTCTTTGTGTCAACCCCTCGTGCCGCCCAGAGCTCAGACAGGTTGTAAACAATCCCGGACGATGTAAATGACCTATATCTTGTGCATGTCCAGGCATGCGGGGTAATTGACCTAGAAACACGTGTGGTGATAAAATTCTCCCCGTGGCCATTCCGCGTAAGGTTTTTGGGCTTGAGGCTCGAAGGGCTAGACGCTGTTCTGACAGGTTCGTGGGTGATATTGGTTGGTCGTGATAGCGCCCTCTTGCGGTGGCCGGTTTTAGCGGCGGCGGGTTATCGTGTATCAAACAGGGACAGCGTGTAGCCCCCAGACTAACAGATACATACAAATCAACACCGGAAAAAAAGAGAAAGAGTCGCAGCATATCATTATGCAAGTTACATGTACTTTTTATTAAGAGGCTTTTTTTCTTCAAAATGCTCAAAATTAATGGTTTAAGAATCTTCGTTTTTGTCTCTATTAGCAACCTTCAAGATTATCCTTTCGTTGATGTCATTTCAGGGTGTCTGGTGTTGACCAACTGAATGATTCATGACTTAGGTAGAATTTATAAAGCGGGTAGAATTTAAAGGTGAGGTACTCTTATGAACATACATGTTCGGAGAAAACTTTGTTAGTTAATTAGCCCAGGACATTGACTTTGTCTTGGTTTGTATTTTCATTGAGAAGATATGGCCGTTTGCAGTGACAGGGTCAGTGTGGTAAAATGTTGCAAAATGCTTCAAACAATCAGTGCTATCCAGTAGAGTCTTGATCCATCGTTGATTTCTGCATCTTAAGCCTCTCAAATCTTGTTGAGTGATCCTTGGAGTATCACATGCCCAACGTCGCTGGTATGAAGTTAAGGCTGCGAAGTGAAATAGGAAAACAAGGTGAATTAATGTGTTTAAAAACATGCACCCAGACACAAGTAAACAACTACCCACATTCTACGTAATGCTGCTTTTGAATGCTGATGTGGTTGTATATTTAACGAATGTATTTTAATAATGGCTGCGCCTAGTTAGTGACTAAATCTGCCAAACAATAGGGTGGCCTTTGTGTCCTGCAATATGTTATCAATTCAACTTGTACAATGATGTAGGATACTAGACCGTTGCTTGTAATCAAGCAGGGAGCTATTAAATTGTTGTAAAATGATTTTGTGGCTGTAAGATATGGTGGAATAGACCTTTATCTTGCTGCCACCATTTTAGTTATGTTCCCTGTACAGGACCAGATCCAGACTGCCATTTACCGAGGGGGGGGGGGGGGGGGGGGGCTCGAATTGTAATGAAGGGTCCAGGACCCATGTCACGCACACAGCTCTGTTTGACCTCAGTTTCTCGTCCCGAGGTCAAACACAAATGGCCCAAAAGCGTACGCGAGATTTTACGATATTTATTCGAGACTACAGAAAAAACACAAAAAGTGCCTCAATACATGCACTGTTTAGCCAAGATGGCTAAATAAGTGAAAAGTTGAAATTGTGTGCTTTATTTTGATAACTAAAATAACTGCTTTTGACAAATATAAAGTGTTGTTATGGCCTGTCAAACAAAATCATATATTTTATCAACAAAACCGAGGGCCGATAGTTTTTAGGTGAACATTCGATTCATAAAAAAGGCCGAAACAAATGGCAATGCTTAGTAGATAGAGGAAAGTATACGCTTTATTTTCATGTGAAACACGTGCAGGAGACTTCTAATGTTTGGTCCAAATCGCCGGTTGAAAATGAAGATTTTTGCGAGATTTCATGATTTGCAATCACATGTACGCGTGTAAACGAATTAGTACGCCGACGTACAAAATGTACGTTGGCCTGAAAACACTGCAAATGGCACGTGCGAAAGCGCAATGAATGACTTATGAATATTAAGCAGGCCCATACTCGAGCTCGACCAATCAGTAGGCGTATGGGTCACAAGGTCACACCGTGTTTGGGTTCCACGCTCTATGATTTACAATGGCGACGATCTTTTCGCGTTGTGAAAACTGGAAGTTGATGGAAGTTAATAAAATATTAACGACATCACGTTCACGAGATTTTTTGTAGATGAAGGTTCACTCTTTCGTTTGATTACCTCAACATTTGGGAGACTTTCGTCGTTCTCGAAAAAAACCCGGAAATGTCGTGACCTAATTTTTAGTTGATTTGTCCGTGAAATAATATCGTCAAAATGCATCGAAATCCCTTTTTTGAGGGAAAAAATACCTTGATAGATGTATGAAGTAGGTCTTTAACTACCTAAAACAACTTTGTTTGTTTGGATCGGTCATGGTTTGCCATGAAAATTGCGAATTTTCTGAAGCCCTGTGTGGACGAGAAAATAGAGGAGCTACGCGTGACACGGCAACTGACTGGACCTGCGAGCGCGGAGCGCGAAGCCCTTACGGCGTGGCGTCCGGGGCCCGCATAAGGGCCCCGGAAAAATTGGATTTAAGATGCTCTGTGGTGCAATCTGAGGCGATTCCTGGCCACTTTCCACCGTTTAGAAAACGTTTTAAACATCGAAAATTCCATTAAAATTTGTTAATTTTTTTGTTCTTTATAAAGTTTGTTTTGTACTCAAAGTTGACAACCATGTTCCATATCCGTATTTTTTCACAACTTTTTATTTTGGAAAGGGATTTCGGCCACTGGTAGTCCGAGCCTCAGCCATTCGCTGCTGAAGGTACAAAAAAGGTGGGGGCACCGCTAGGGTGAAATTATAGCATATAGTGGGATCCGGGACCCGCTTAAGGGCCCCTGGAAATTTTGGATCGTAGATGCTCTGTGGTGCAATCTGAGGCGTTCCCTGGCCACTTTCCCCTGATTGTTTTAGCAGAAGTTTTTAAAATTATGAGGGGATATTTTCTTTCATTTGTTTCAAATAGATATAGGCCTATATACTCTTGCTCTCATGAAGTTTCTTCTGTATTCAAAGAATAAAGTTGAGAACATGCACATAATTTGTAATTGTTCCGCGCTCGGTCACGTCCACATAACTGACATGAATTTAAATATTTCATTACAGCGGATGCATATTTGGGGGGTGTGACAAACTGGCATGAAACGTATCAGAAAAATATGTTAATAGAATCTGAAGTGGCCATTGTTTGATTTTGTTTAGTCAGCAAGCCCGGAGCGTGAAAACGGTTTGACTTCATACGCATTGTACGCAGCAGTTGTCCGCGTGCAGTCCCACGGACGTATGACGCGCTAAAAGAAATCCGCGAAATGAGACTCCACTTCAGTTTGTTTTACCTTGGTTTATCCGCGTATCGTGCGGCCATCAACGATTGTTCTTCCTCAAAGTAACTCAAAACGCGTGGCCCGTCGGATCACCGTCCATTTTTCACCGATAGTATAGATTTTAAAATATTTGCCGGGGATAGCTGATGGAGCTATTTGCATGGTATCCTGCCGCACGGTATAGGCCTACCATTACTGTTGTATCCAATAGCAGTACCGAATGATAATGTTTTTTGTTCAAAAGGGAACCAGACTATTTTTCCTTCTAGCCTCGCTTTGGTTATGTTGATTTGAATGGAGAAAAAATAAGATGGCCGCAACATGATAATGGTCTATACGTTGTTCTTTTTGTGTGTGTGTAACTAGCAGGGAATATTATCTATGTTACAAGTTATTGAGTGTTTACCGCGACGTAGAGCAACTTGTTGGGAGTCCCTTTGGTGTCAGAAATGGCGCCATTGGTGGCAGCATTCACGATGGCAGAATGGACGGCCGATGGGGAGGAACCTGGGTTCGAACCCAAGTAAACAGTGGCGGCACCTGCAAATGAAAAGCAGTGTGAATATTTAGGCAAGGCACTGGTAATCATCAGGACATGGCGGTGTGTGTGAATGATCACTGCTTGACTTCTGTTATATTGATGTTGTCATTACAGCGCCCAACAAAACTAAACCGTCTGTATGTACTTGCGATCGGAAAAAGTCGGGAAACTCACCAGTCACGTGAGGGCAAGCCATGGATGTTCCCGACATGGTTGCACTTCCAGTGTTAGAGGAGTAGCTAGCACTGACAATGTTATAGCCCGGAGCAAACAGGTCCACGCACGAGCCCCAATTGGAGAAATACGCCCGAGAATCACTGGAGGTTGAGGCACCGGCAGTGAGGCACTGAAAACAAATCACGTCATAACTCAATGGTTTTGCATCACTTTGATAATGAACTTTTGTAACTTTGGTGAAGTGGCTGTTGATCACTGGGGAGGAGGAGGTGTCTTGAGCCCCCACCCTCTCGGTTCTCTCCCCGAGACCCCACCCCCTCAAAAAAAATAAATAAAATTCGGGAAAAAGGAACAACAAAAGAAGAAACCCTGAGTTAATAAAATATGAATTCAGATTAAATTCTACAATAGAATCTGCCCGGCTATTCACAATCTTATTTTAATGAACAGCGCCCTCTTGCGCCAGATGAGGACCATCGCAAAATTCGAGGTTGTTGAGCTTTCACCATGGACAGATTCTGGGTGAGCCACAGGTTGATTGATCGAATCCTTTTTTTTCTGGGAGGTCACTCTTAAAAGAACGGCTTAAGTCTGATGGAGCAACTTAGCTGTTGAACATTTCTCCTCGTTATTGATTTAGCTTTTAGGATAATTGTTTTTCATTACTTGACCACGTTTGTTGAAGAGCTAAACCGGTTAAACACCCCCCCCCCCCTACATATTCACATTCAATATCGACTTTCGCCCGCGCAAGAAAGTATGGGTAGTTCGACTTTTAAAATTATGACCAGATTTAAGCAAGTAGTTTGGACGTATAATTTTGGTCCTTTATTACAACTCACCCCAGCAACATTGGCGGGGGAGGTGTTGCAAGCATTGGCGTTATCGTTGCCAGCAGCAACAGACACGGTGTAGCCTTTGTTAAGCATGTCAGTGGCCTACCCGTCAACCTGGGAGTTTTTCGACCAGCCGAGAGACATTGACACCACTCCCTTGCCGAAAAATATGACCAGATTCAAGACATTTGGTTTTATTATAATTTTCGTCTTTTTGAACAACTCACCCCAGGAACATTGGCGGGGGAGACGTTGCAGGCATTGGCGTTATCGTTGCCAGCAGCAACGGATACAGTGTAGCCTTTGTTAAGCATGTCGTTGACCATATTGTCCATCTGGGAGTTCTTCGAAAAGCCAAGAGACATTGACACCACTCCCTTGCCGTTGCCCGTGCCAAACTGGCTCACGATCGCATTCAAGCCTTTTGTAGGGAAACACAACAGACATTTTGACTTAACTTTTTACCCGGCCTAGGATAGCCAATGAGACACACATTTTGTTCAGCTCCAAGTATAGTGACTAACCTCAACATGCAGATTAAATAATAACGTAAAGGTAATATAATAACAAATCTAATATGAAGCATAATACTCATTCAAGAGCATCTCTTTTTATCTTAGGTTCTTATATTTCTGTAAGGGTTGATATATCTTTTGGTAGGGTCGGTCTGTCAAAACAAATTGTCTTTATTTTGTATATTGCAACGAATAATCATTAATAAAACAATATTTGGTAAGATGTAGTTGACTTATCTACGCCAAGAAGCGCACTAATATTTTTGCTGTAGTGGCAGCCATAACATACTGTAGCAGTAATGTTCAATGTATATTATATACACCTAATATGATGAGAGGCAACATATCCTATCATCTTCTGGGATTACACTGGTTGCTATTCGTCGCGTAATAATCTGATATTCATTTTCTTCATTGTTATTTTCATGTAATTGAATTTTGAAATTGTCTGATATTGTTATATTTTAATTGTGTCGTTCCTGAGAAATTATCTAATAAATGATAAATAAATTTTGCTTCGTTTTGTTAGTAGGGTCGGCGGTAATGAAAAAAAGTTTTGTTTTTTTTCGTCGGGAACCCAACATAGAGTCGGCTGAAAATGAGAACTGAGAAGTGAAAAGGGAGGCCCCAACAAAAGACCCAGGTATGACGTCATGCCATCCGTCGGTCTAGCAATGGACAACTTTTCTACCAATTTTTTCAGAAACTGCAAGGAGGGAGCATATCAAGACCGACAGACTGATCTGATGGACTGATCGACAAAGAAACGAAAACTGGAAAAAAGCATTTCAGCGAGGAAATGAGTTCTTTGTGTGAATCAAAGGAGCAAACGTTTAGCGGGTGACGACCTACCAGCTTGGACCGTTGAAGTTGGGCAGCTGCCCCAGGAGTTGCAGACTTTTACGCTGTAGACATTGGCTTTACGTGCGATACCGTAGATGTCACCTCCAGCAGTGCCGGCACAGTGGGTCCCGTGCCCATGATCGTCAGTAGCTCCGTAGACTCTGGAGGCTCGTCCACCGAACACTTGGTGAGTTGTGCGGATTCCAGTATCCACAATGAAGAAGCTCGCCCCGCTGCCTTGAGCTATTCAGGAAGAAGACAAATATATATCCAGAGACAATCAAAATGATATCCTTGATTTCATAGGCGTCGCTGAAACAATTTGGATGGGGTGTCACGAACTCTTAGCGAAGGCTAGAGCAATTTTGAAAAGGAATGGTTGTGCACCATCTTACACATGGTAAAACTTGTATCTAGGAATATAAGTGAGTATAATTTAACTCTAAACAAACTTGCATCCTCGACTGCCACCTTTAATGACAATGCAATGTATATGAAAATATGTGCACGCCTACACATCTGCACTTTCATATAATATAAAATGCCATTTTCATAAAATTAGAATAGTATTTGCAAGAGTGGCAGTGATGCTTGCCTGATTCCTGATCCTTTTCTCTTCCCATTTTTCTCTCATATTTTCCCTTTTCAACTTGTACCTACAGTGACATGATTGCGATGCTAAAAATTAAGGATATGTTGCACATAGTGTTGGAATTAATGCTGGAATAATTTAATAGGTGGTTGGGTACATTCAATTGTAATCATTAAGTGGGGCATAGAAGACCCCCAAAGAGCTGATGGAGCTATTTGCATGGTATCTTGCCGCACGGTATAGGCCTACCATTACTGTTGTAATTGTAGACACCATTAGTTCCAGTGCGACTGTCAATACGATCGATGCCCCACGTTGCGCCGGATTGCGAGCCGTAGATGGTTCCGATCACATCCTCGTGAATGTACTCGATGCCTTCAATACCACGCACCTGAACAAATAGGTAATGACCACTGATCTCCATTACCGACTTGGATAGGCAGCCAGGGTGCTGTCACTGACGCCCCTATAGTAGTCCACCCAGCTAGTATGGCGTGCAAATTTAACATTTAATCCCAAATCCCTATTTCAAAGGACTCATCTCTAATTCTAATAGACATGTCTCCTTTCTAATAGGCGTTTCTCTTTATCTAATACAGATGTCTCTCGTTTCGGCTTGAGAGGAGTGACCTATACACGTTCAGGCTTTTCGGCTTAAAACAGAGGAGTCTCGATTGGGAATTAGATAATTATTTATCTCTATCAGGGGAAAAATGTTAACTTTGCACGACATACCAAGCGGGCCGAAACGCAGCTCAACTAAAATGGCCGCTCGGCAAAGTCAGGCATGATGGGCCAATCAACTTGCAAGAGGCAATCGCTACCAGAGACTTAAGTCAAAGGCAGAGTATGAGGAATGCCTTTGACTTGGCGCTGGGTACAAGTGTAATAAGGGGCTGCTATGTGGGTACCTTTTAATTCCCAGACCAATTCTTACAAACTTATAATAGTCAGGAACCTGCCCATGCCCAAACATGTCTGACATGTTCAGAATACGTTTCAATGACAGTCGAATATGTTCGGGTAGCTCGGGTATTTCCAGGTGTGAAATGTTTTTATTTCCATAAAAATATCTGCTGTGCTTATCAGTCCTAAAATTGTAGAATTCTTAAACTCAAGACATTCGAGAATTTCAATCCATTGTGAAATGTCACCGATCGTCTGGTTAGGGAACCAAACCAGCGACTTACCACGTTAAGAGCGCGAGCTGGAATCTTGAGGGACAAACCCGGCAGGATGTGTTCGTACTTGTCGACGGTGGGCTCCGCGGCACGCATCACTACAAGGATATCCTTGATCTCTTTCTCGATGCGATCAATCTCCTGCACATCCTAAGAAAGATAGACAAACGACATGGGTGTTAGTTAGTCTTACGTTGAATCAATCCTATACAAGCATATCTTGAATGCATGTGGGCCTAGGCACAGTACAAAGCATTTCCAACAAGTATGGACAAATCACTCAAATTGCCCATTCGGGAGACACGTTTCGCTTAAAAGTTGACCTTTACAAATTTTAAAACGATTTTGAGTGTTGAGCACGAGTTAGAGTATTACACTGCAAAAACTGGAGTGTTAAATTTACACCATTGGTTTCTATGCAGGACAATCTGGTGTTAAATTTTACTGGTGTTGTCCTGTATAGATACCGAATGGTTTTAAATTAACCCTACAGTTTTTGCAGTGTATGTACGCGCACTACTTTCCACGAGTATGAGTGCGTGTACAAACACTGCCTTGTGGGGTACCGGAACAATGGGAGGTACCCCACAAGGAATGCCCACCGACTTGCGGGGTACCGTTTAGGTACCCCACAAGTTTTTCACGAAATAGATATATGGATTTTACTAAAAAAAACTAGGAATTTCCAAAGTGGGTTGATCCGTCGCAAATGGAAGAGTTTTAGAAAAGGGATATTAAGTCCGAATTTCAGACCAGGAAATTAACTATGGTTATTATAAGAGCATTTTGACATAAGTGTGCGACGTTGCAAAATTTTAGTACACGAGAACAAAGGAAGAACCCCACTTCTATGCCTATGTACGCGTGTGTGGGTATACACACAATAACCGCCTTCTTTGGTCACGTCGCTCGCCTGGCTGACAATGTCCCCGCTAGCCAAAAACGTTTTAGGCATCGCTATCAATTCCGGGAGAGGTCAACCGCCAACTCCCTGCCGGAAGAGACCCCGTGACCGTCCCATATCATCTTGGTTGGAATAATTCGGACGGTCTAGCCAGAATTACGGAAGCTTGAATTGCCTTCTGCGATACCGCGTTTCCGTAATAATTCATTACAGAAATCCGGAATTCAAAGATAATTCCTTCCTCGATACCGCGTTACCGTGATAAGTTATGACAGCAATCCGGAATTCAAAAATACATATTCCTCGATACCGCGTTACCGTGATAATTTATCACAGAAATCTGGAATTCAAAAATAGCTATTCCTCGATACCGCGTTACCGTGATAATTAATCATAGAAATCCGGAATTCAACGATAATTTCTTCCTCGATACCGCGTTACCGTGATAATTTATCACAGATATCTGGAATTGAAAGATTACCCCTTCCTCGATACCGCGTTACCGTGATAATTTATCACAGCAATCTGGAATTGAAAGATAACCCCTTCCTCGATACCGCGTTACTGTGATAATTTATCATAGAAATCCGGAATTCAAAGATATCTATTCCTTGATATTGCGTTACAAGTGCATCTTTACTGTTAAGCAAGATTTTGACACTGCGCTGTGGTTTGGTGCTAATTACCATCGCCAGGGTGGTAAATTCCTCTTTCCTCGAAAATGAGATGAGCACTGGCACAATGATTACAAAGTATATGAATACTCGATCCTATTTCATCACATCAAATTTAAGCCGTTTCAGATTTGAGTTTCAAATGGTGCATTTTACTTTAAGTCTTCAATATTATCCAAAATTGACTAAAATTTAAGCAGCCAACCACCTATCCAAAAATGTGACCTTGGACAACAAAATCTGCGAATTCCAGATTTCTAAATTTTCACAGTAACGCAATATCGAGCAAGGGATTATCTTTGAATTCCGGATTTCGGTGATAAATTATCACGGTAACGCGGTATCGAGGAAGGATTTATCTTTGAATTCCGGATTTCTGTGATAAATTATCACGGTAACGCTGTATCGCGGAAGGCAATTCAAGCTTCCGTACAGAATGAGTGCATGTGGCGTGAGGCTGTAGGACGCGGGCACAGGAGATCGGCGCGACGGACCCATGCTGTCTATGGCGAAGAGTGAGCGAGTGAGCGAGTGATTGACAAAGACATTTTGCTGCAAAAGCTCGCCAAAAAAATTGGTTCGTTTTCTGCAAGTACCTTAAAAAATTTCAAACGTTTTAATGAGTACGAGTATTGAGTGCATGGCCTTGAGTACGAGTATAAGTATGAACATAGGGAATTATTAAAAAAATGGTCCTTTTTTCCAAAGGAGTACGAGACCGGGTGCATTCTCCTGAGTACGAGTATGAAAAAAGTGTCACACCAATGTTACCTTGACTTTGATGATCCAGCTGTCAGGCACAGTGCGACTATTGGAAGTAATGAGTGGAGCCAGGCCGGCATTGGCCACGGCAACACACAGACACAGCAGCAGAAACTTCATGGTTCGCTCGAAGGGTTTGGTATGCACACTTCCAACGGAGAGTTCACCTGTAGCTGTACAGTCAAAACGATGGTTGGAGAAGGTCGCTCGTTTTCGTGAGAGAATGAGTGACTCGTACTGGTTGCCCGAGTGTATTTATGTGTTTTCCGTTATGTTGTGAACCAATCGTCTGACGTTCATTCTCTACCAGGATAATCGAAGTGGAGCGATTACATTGATTATTTTTCATCATACGTTCTTTTGGAGAGATACAGGTCTCGTCATCGACAGTTTGAATTACAGAATGTAGCACATTATTTCAGAAAAGATAACACCGGAAGAACCGCGTTCGTACAGCAACATATGTTTTGACAAACAAGAATTTCCCACATTGTTTCAATGCGCCTTTCATACAAAACTTTGATAAAACTTAAGAGTTCGACTGACACGCTTCACCTTTGTCGCTATACACATTTATGTGGTCCCAAGGGTTGTACCGGAAACATCAAGGAATTGTGCCTTCTGAAGACAGGGGGAGGTGTAGCCCTTGCCTCCTCCGCACTAGTAAGGGAGCAAGTCGTTCTGTAACTCACCAATGGGCAGCACAATGTGCCTATACCGGAATGTTCGCTTCGATGACAATTTGTGACTTTTCTTAACCTTTATCGGAGGTCAACATGGTACCACAATCACGCTGGAAGCCGATTGTTGCCATTGCAAACGTTAAAACTTGGTAAGCATGAATTATATTTCTTGAAAATTTGAATTCTTATCGGTCAAAATTTGTTTTCTATTCCCATACCTATCAAACCTAACAAACCTAACAAAGTAATGGTCTTGTGATTTTATAGACACCCAGCTACAGAACTTCCAGCCATTTGATTGTAACATTTCAAGTTGTACGGCGCCTCAGAGGACAGAGATTATTCAAATAAGCAACAGTCGTACATCAATGCCATCGTGTTTATTGCATGGTAATTATTATTACCCTGGATTGGACATTAAATGTCCAATTGTGTGCACACGTCTATAGGGATGTCTCCCAAATGTTGGCAGACATCCTTATAGACTTGTGCACAAAATTTTTCAAACTTAAATGTGCCGTAACCCAATTTCCCTTGTCCTTTTCCCACGAATTTCGGTATGTTTACTAATTAAGCAATAAATATAACCTAATTGCGACGCTAAAATTGTGCCTCTAAAGTAGGGCTGTGACATTAGGGAGACATGAAAATGTCTCCCTAATGACCGATGTCTCCCACCGTTCGAAGAAATTACGATACCGTGTCTCCTTAATGGTACATTAGTCAATAATTTCACTATCGTTGGAGATAAACAGCAAAACATCCCAGTCCAATTCAGCGGAGTGTCATTCTTGTCATTGCAAACTTCGGTACGCTACTGTTTTTATTAAAATAAAGCCCAGGTGATACATTGCAAACAGTTTTATACTCTTAACATTTAATTAACACTTCGAGGAAGGAGACGTTCAGTGAGACTCTCGAGTAAGTGTATTTCATTCTAAAATACGAGGGCAATATTTTGTGTATCAAACATATCAGACAACTGTATTCTTTTCCCATAATTTTAACCAATTTCTTTATGGGAAAATTATCCAGTTATGGAGTTAGTAGAACATTTAGAGACCCTCTATCTCTCAGTCGTGACATTATGACAGCTTCTGTTTTTCAGTCGTCAATCAGAATTCCTTCTTTGAAGATTGATTTGGATTGATTTTTCGTTGATCCAAGGACTCCGGTCGGCAATTTTCAAACCTGGATTGCCGATGCATGGTACATGTATACAACCAGGACCTATTCCCGACTACATGTATCCCCACTACACATGAACACAGGTCGGTAAACCTTTTGTTTCTTGAACAGTGGTGCATGGATTCATCGTACATGTAGCTAGAACTTTGCCGATTCTGACGATCTACCAAATAGGAAAAATGGCACTATTCATTAAATCAAGTGTTTGTCTCTGTACAATGCTTTTTGCATTGAATATGTGTTGGCCGCGTAGCTCTTCACAACATGGCTCCTATCAAGCTTTTGATACCTCAAGCAGCTCAATAACAACAGATTTCGGCTGCGTGAATGAATTTGAAAGATCCCACAACAGTTGGTCGTTAGCGCTAAATGCCTTGACCAAGAATCACAGATGGCAAAACAAGGGTCTATTTAAACCAACTCGAGGCCCGTCAGGCAAGTCTCGTCAAATGATCATCCTGATCCTCTTGTTATCTGGGGTTGAATCAAATCCAGGCCCCAATCCTGAATACCCATGTGGTGTTTGGAGCCATGCAGGAGGAAGAACACAATCAAAATGCTATCCAGTGTGATCAGTGTGATATCTGGATCCACACGGATTGTGCAGTGGTATGATGAGATGTATCAAGTGTATATGACCCTTCCCAATCTGTCCTGGATATGCACGAGCTGTGGTGTACCAAACCTAGGATCATCTTTCTTTGATAATGACCGCTTTTCCAGTGTTAATACCTTTGAAGCGTTGACAGATAACTGGGATGAAAGCATGTTTGACCCTGACAGTTTTGAACCAAACAGTACTTCCACACCCACCAAATAGAAAAAAAATCAAACCCAAAGAAGAGTAATAAAATTACCAAGATTGAAAACAATGGTGGTAAATTTATTGTGATGGGCTGAAAGGACAAAAAAGCAGACTAGCTTTTCAAGCTGCGGTTGCTCAACACACTCCAGATATCATCATTGGATGTGAGTCCAAGCTTGATTCTACCGTCCCTACCTATTCAATTTTCCCAGAGGACTACAATGTCATCCGCAAAGATAGAACGGCAACAGGAGGTGGGGTGTTTATAGCAACTAAAAACTCCTTTGTGACTGTGGATTTGCCAGAGTTGGACACTCCATGCGAAGTGATATGGAACTATATGGAGTTTGCCAGAGCTGGTAAGCTGTACATAGGAAGTTTTTATCCCCCCCCCCAAGTGCTGGAATGGAACCGGTGAACCGTTTGTTTGATAGTGTTGCCAAGATCATGGGGCAAATAAGAACAAGCATACCAACAGTTTACTATGTGGCGATTTTAATTTGCCAGATGTAAATTGGGACAACCATCAGCCAGAAGCTACAAGCAAACGTAAAAAGATGCATGAAGATTTCCTCAACTTACTGGCCGAAAGTGGCCTTGTGCAACTAAACAAGCTGATCACCAGGTTGATTTGATCTGCACCTGAAATTCAAATATCGTAAGTAACATCAGAACGACTACGGGAGTGAGCGATCAGGACATTCTTCTGTTTGACATAAATATGCAACCCAAACGGCAAAACAAACCGCCACACAAAGTTTACAGTTAAAAGAAGGCTGATAATGATGGTCTAAAGTCATGGCTCAACCAGTGTAGTGAATCATTCTTCCAAACGGACCCCAACTCAAGATCAGTGGATGGAAATCGGAAGCTTTTCAAGAAATACACACTTGAGGCCATGGAAAAGTTCATTCCACATTGCATGTCCAAGAGAAAGCAAAGTCATCCGTGGATTGATAGACAGATCATCAGACATATGAGAAAAAGAGACAAACTGATTGCCTGGGCCCGGAAAGCAAGATCACAGAGACTGTGGAGCTGTTATAGAAAACAGCGCAACTATGTCACCAAGTTGCTTAGACAGTCCTACCATACATACATGGAGGATGTTCTTGGGCCCAGTCTGGATGAAAATCCTAAACAGTTCTGGTCGTTCATACGTTCACAGAGACGTGAGGCAGTAGGTGTTCCCACCCCAACAATTCATGGGAAAAACTGTGCCACAGACCAGGAGAAGGCAGAGGTGTTAAATCACCAGTTTACCTCTGTTTTTACTGAAGAGGACACATTATCGTTGCCTACCAAGGGAAATTCAGATTTCCAATCCATCAGTGATCTTGATATTGGAATCGAAGGGGTTCTCAAGCAGTTAAAACAGCTCAATACCACCAAAGCAGGAGGTCCGGACGCTATTCCAGCTCGAGTACTGCATGATTTTGCAGATGAGTTGACGCCCATGTTTCACTTCATTCTCCGTCAATCATATCAGACTGGCCAGTTACCAGAGGACTGGAGAAAAGCACTTGTTACTGCCATCTATAAAAAGGGCTCAAAGTCATCACCAGAAAATTATCGCCCCATCAGTCTGACCTGCATTGCTTGTAAGATAATGGAACACACAGTACTCTCACACATATCCAAACATCTAGCTGCTTATAATGTCATCGTAGAACACCAACATGGTTTTCGTGAAAAAAGATCATGTGAGACGCAGTTGCTGGAAGCAGTTCATGATTGGTCAGAATCCCTAAATGGGAGTTGCCAAACGGACGTCTTGCTGTTAGACTTCAGCAAGGCGTTTGACAAGGTACCACACCAGTGGTTGGCGCTCAAGCTTCACCACTATGGCATCAGAGGAAACACACTCAGATGGATCAAAGCTTTTCTAAACAACCGGGGGCAGTGTGTTAGTGTCAATGGTGACTACAAATTCGTATCCTTGTGGAGACACACACACAATATAAAAAGGAACAAAACATTGTAAAGGTCTCCACAGGGCAATTTCTATAGATGAATAGGTCTCCACAATGTTTTCACGAAATAGATATGTGGGTTTTACTCAAAAACTAGGAATTTCCAAGGTGGGTTGATATGTCGCAAATGGAAGAGTTTTAGAAAAGGGATATTAATTCCAAATTTCAGCCAAGGAAACTAATTCTGGTTAAAATAAGAGCATTTCGAAACTTCACTTTCAAAATTGAACACTTTACTACACGAGAACAAAGAAATGTCTCCACAAGGATACAAATTTGAGAATGGGTGCTCACTCACGTTGGTCGTCAGTAACATCAGGCGTTCCACAAGGGTCTGTCTTAGGACCGACACTCTTCCTCGTGTATATTAACGATATTGTGGATGATGTGAAATCCAACACCAGGCTGTATGCAGACGATAGCATCCTCTACAGGGAGATCAAAGGTGATGCTGACCATCATATCCTGCAACAAGACCTTAATACGGTGTTCAAATGGGCAGACACGTGGCAGATGAGCTTCAACGCCTCGAAGTGCCAACTCCTCACCATCACTCGTAAGACCAAACCAAGTCTCTTCAACTACA